CCACATGCACCCCCTCCATGACTATTGTATTTGAACGAAGGCCTGATGTTTCCAGGGCTTTCAATCTTTTAAAGACAAGTTAGAAATAGAGATTTTTTAAATGTAAGAATCTCCCAATTTTGAAATGTTGGCAACAAAATTTTTAAAAAATCCTTGTGCAGGTCAAAACACCCTGTGCCCACTTGCTGGGTTTGTCCTGCGGGCAGCCAGTTTGCAACCTCCGGATGTTCGGATGTTCGCCATGTGCAGGGCTGGGGAGGAGGGAGCCAGAGGCCTCAGCCTTGCTCGACCCCCATCGCTTCATCCCTGTCCTTCAGAAGAGCCTCCCTGGGCAGCCCTCTGCTCTGTCCCCACCCCATCAAATTCCCTCCTCCCAGCCCTCCTTCCTCGGAGACCTCCTGAGGCCAGGGCTGTGGAGCCGGGGAGGGGTGGAGTGGGGGAGAGAGAGGCTTTGCCTGAAGACGGTGATTCAGGGGCTGAACCCTTCCCATGTCAAGGAACCGCAGCTAGTGAGCACAGCCGTTAGCTAGCCAGAAAAAAGATTCAAGCCTCAGAATGAAGTCCCTAATATTTGGCAAGTGACCGGCCATTTCTTCCTTCTGCCTCTCCCTCTGCTACCAGGCCTTCCTCCTTCTGTCTCCCCCTCTTCGTCTCTCTCCCTCTCTCCTCCCTGTCCCTCCATTTTAGTCTTTCTTCCTCCCTCCTTCTCCCTTTGGACTGTTTCTCACTTCCTCTCCTTCCTCTTTCCCCCTCCCCTGTTACTCTGCTCTCTTTCTCTGCCTCAGTTTCCCCGTCCCTCACATCCCCCCAGTCCTGCCGCCTCCCTTCTTCTCTTCCTTCCTCTTTCCTCCCCTTGCCCCTCTCCTGATTTCATTAACATTTGCTGAATTTCCTTCAGCAGGTGTTGGTTTCAGACAACCGCAGACCCTGAGGTTCCTCTGGGGCATAAAGGTGGGATCCGGAAAAACTGAAGCTGGGCTTCCAAGAGGTCCAGTGTTGCCTGATGATTCACTCAACAAACATGTGTGGAGCTCCTGCTCTCATTCTAGCCCTGTATTCGGTGCTGGGACACTGTTCTTTCATTCATTCATTCATCCATCACTCAAACTTCCTCAGTCTTCCCATCACATTAGAACGACATGCAAACTCCCTACCCTAGCCTGTGAGGCCGACGCTATCTGGCCACCACCCACCTCTCTGCTTTTTCTACCCCAGTCTCCTCCCTCATGCACCCTCATCCACCCTGGCCTCCCTGTCATCCTCTAACACACCAACACTCTCACCTCAAGGACTTTGCACTTACAAACTACCCCCTGGCAGGAAACTCAGAAAGTAAGAGGCAATTATGTGACAGAGCCAGCACAAGTGACTCTGAGAGCTCAGCGGAGGGGCCTAATCCAGACAGACTTCCTGGAGGAGGTAACTGAGGCTGAGTTTTGAAGAACAAATAAGAGTTAGCCAGGTCAGAGGGAGATGGGAGTGGATGGGTGGGGAGAAAGGTGTTCCAGGCAGAGGGAACCCCTTGTGCAAAAGCTTGGAAGATGGGGCGCATGGGGCTTCATTTTGAAATTGCAAGTGCTTTGGTCAGGCCCAGGTCAGACGGAGCTCATGCTCACGTGCTGCCCACGTGCAGGGACACCTTGAAGAGGTGACGTAATCGCTCTCTGCCTCCGTTTTCTCATCTGTAGAATGAGGAGACTGTTAGCCCCGGCCGTCCAGGGTTGTTATGAGGACCCCTCACATTAGACACTCAGCACAGGGTGACGCCTAGTAAGTGTCAGCTCTCCCCAGTAGGGAAGCCCGTGAGCACCTGGCTAAGGGGGGGCTTCTGCTCAAAGGCCGTGGAGAGCCTGGGTGAGGGCAGAGGTGCAGTCAGATGGGCATTTCAGACGAGTCCTCTGGCTGCTGTGTGGAAGGCCTCTCAGAGGCAAGGTTGGAGGCTGCTCTGGAGCCAGGAGCAGGGAGGATATGGACCCTGGAGGGCCCTGGAGGGTGGAGCTGGAGGCTGGGAGGGGTGGACTGAAGGGGCCGGGGCGGTACACAGTGGTTAAGAGGAGGGCTCCGGAGCCGGACTGCCTGGGTACGAATCCCAACTTTGCCACTTACCAGCTCTGGAGTCCTGGCGGGTGTCCTCACTCAGTTTCCTCATCTGTAAAGTGGGCGTGACAACAGTACCCCCCCCCCCCACAGAGTTGCTGCGACTATAAATGAGTTCATCCACGAGAATTGCTCAGAACATCTGGAGTACTTAACAACCATCAGATCAGCTAGAACTATTATTAAATATCAAGTTAATGCATGAAAGGAAAGGATGCTGACACTATTTTTGCCTGGGACGAAGATCTCAAATCGGGGTTCATGCCTTAGCAGCCAAGCTGTGCAGGAAGCCTCCGGCCAGGAATTAGAGGGTGGTGTAGGCTCCCCTGCCCCAGCGGGTTAATTCACTGCTAATCTTGTAACAGGCCAGCCCAGCCATTGCTGATATCAGAGAAAACACGGACTGCCTGCTTTTTATCTGCACATAAATGGCACAGCTCACTCGCCTGGAACCCAAATCCGCTCAGCAGCTGATAGAGCGTGAGAGAAGCCAGAGGGAGGGAGAAATGTGGGATGGACACAGGTCCACTTCCCTGAATTTTCTTCTCTGAGCCTCCCTGCTCAGGGGGCAGATCTTGCCCAGCCTCAAGAGAGGCAGACGGGCCTGAGTTCTCATTTAATCGCTGTGTGACCTCAGGAGATTTGCCAAGCCTCTCTGAGCACATGTTTTCTTGTCTTAAAGTGAGGGTAATGAAGCCTACCTCTTAGAGTTGGTGGTGGATTGAGAACAATATAGAAGGCAAAGGCCCTATGCATATGGCTCTCTGGGCTTCACAGAGGGTTCAGCTGTTAGGCAATCAAAGTTGTTCTAGAAATTGTAGTCATTAAGGGCACCCCATCAAACTGTCACAGCACATGCACTTCCCACATGTGTGGGGAGTCAAACAGAATGGCCTTGCAGCCCCGCTTCCCCGCTCGCTGGAGGGCATGGGCAATTCACTGAACCGGAAGTGCCCCCTCGCTGGGGAGGAATAAATGGCATGATGGACTTAGGGGCTTAGCTCAAGGCCGGAAGCTCAGCAGGGGCTCCATAAACGCTGGCTGGGGTCATTATCAGGCGTGCTTTGGTGGGGGAACCTACTGTGTGCTCTGAGGAGGGAGAGGCCCTGCGCTACAGCGTGGGGCTCTGGGGCCCTGGAGTGGAATCTTCTAACCCCTGAACACCTGAGCAAACAGGGCAGTGTGCAGGCACGGGCGCTGGGGGAGGGAAGGAGGTCAGGCATCCCTGAGCGCCGCAGCAGGGCGTCAGGCTAGGAGGCCCAGGCTGGGAAGAGCATGGAGCCCCTGCCCGGGGCGGGGTATCTCAGGGGACTCCCCATCTCCAGCCCTCCATTTGAACAGCTTTGAGGTTGATAATTGGTTTATAAAGAGTTGACTGTGAAAGGGACAGCTTTTAGCGGACTGTTGGTGAAGCCTCGTGTTTACTGGGTGCCTGCTGCATGCTGGTGAGGGTTGTGGGGACGAGGACCCAGCAGGACACACAGTTAGGGTCTATACCCTTAAGAGCCAGCATTCTAGTGGGGGAGACAATGACAAACAGCACAAGCAACCATCAGGTAAACAGGACAGCACGAGGCGGAGAGTGGTCCCTGCCAACACAGCAGGGCGAAGTGAGAGAGAGCCAGGAAGCTCTCCAGGTGAGCACAGGGCTCAGCAGATGCCGCCCTGAGGATGTGACGTTTAATTCATTTGATTACAAGGAGGGAACCATGTGAAAATCTGTGGTCAGAGTACTGTGGTTGGAGGCATAGAAAGTGCAAAGGCTCTGAGGCAGGAGCAAGCTTGGCGTGTTTGAGGAACAGACAGTATTTCAGAGACGAAAACAAGACACAGCTCCTGCCTTCGTGGAACCCGAGTCTGAAGCCTCACATAGATGATTACCAAATAGTGGAATATTTTGATGGAGGAAGCACAAGTTTCTGGGAAAGTAGAAAGGAGGATCATCCCATCCAGCCTAGGAGATCAGGGAAAGCTGCCTGGAGGAGGTGATGTCTAATCTAAGACCTAAATGACAGGTAACAGGAGAAGAGAGGGAGGGTTTTCCAAGCAGAGGGAACAGCATGTACTTAAAGGCCCAGAGGTGGGACAGGGCCTGATGCATTCCCTAGGGGAATTGCAAGTAGCTGGATGTGGTTGGAACCCAGAGCTGAAATATTAGGTTGTAGAGATGGGATTGAGGGTGTCCCGGTCATGTAGGAGAAGGGCCAGGCCTGCCCCAGTCCAGGGGATCTGATCACAGCATTGATAAGCTGAGAAAGGTATTTCAGGGAGGGCAGGAGGGGTCAGAGAAGGAACGGGAGGTAGGAAGGCCCGCATGGAGACGGGTGAAGGTGCTTGGGTGGAAAAGGCAACTTCCAGAGACCTTACACAGCAGAAAGGGCTGGCTTGGGGACAGTGTGGGGAGAAGGGGACGAAGGCAGGTGACGGAAGCCTCAGAGCACTCAGAAAAGCAGATAGCCAAGTGTCTTCTGGCTTGGTGGGTGGTCAAGGTGGGTTTGAAGCCCGACAGACCCTAGTCAAGTCCTGGCTTGTCCACTGCCTTGCTGTGTGGGCAGTCTCTTCCCCTCTCTGTGCCTCAACTTCCCCATCTGTCCAATGCAGTAGCACAACCCGCCTTGAGAGCTGCTGTGCAGACTGAATGTGAATGTGTAGGAGCGCTCCTGGCACACGGCAGGCACTCAGCAGGTCTTAATTCCCTTCCTTGACCCCTGGCCTTGGGGCACCCACTGTGCCTCTCGGGGCCTCTGTTTTCTCCACTGTAGAATGGGAACGAGAATGTTTGCTTGTGGTGCTGCTGGCAGGAGCTGGCGGGTGACTTCGCAGGCTCAGGACGCCCCCCACAGAGTCGGTGCTCACAGGTTTCATTGTCTTCTCTTTCTCCCTCCCCAGCGGGAGGAGCTGAGACAGCATGGCCTGGCAGGGGCTGCTGCTGGCTGCTTGCCTCCTCGCGCTGCCCTCTGCCACAGCGGACTGCCTGTCTGGCTGCTCCTCGTGTGCTGTGAAGACCCAGCGTGGGCCCAAACCCGTCAACCCTCTGGTAGGTTTCAGGCACGGCTTCTGGATGCCCAGGTCCTAGAGCCTGTGTGTGGACGGGACCTTCTGTGTGGGGATCCCAGAGAGGGAAAGAAGCAGGCCTGGGCAGCTGTGTGCCTGTCCTGTAGACTCGTCCCACCTGTGCAGGGCATGTCCTGCCCTGTGGTCAGCCTGGGCGCCAGGGGCTGCTGTTTTCCAACTCCCATCCCCCGCCGCCCCAGACCTCACCACCATGGGCTCACTGCAGTCTGGGCCACACATTCCCTGTTTCCAGGGAGCCTGATGCCTGGCAACAAGGAGTGTGGTTCACAAGTGGTGCTGACTTGGGGAGTCGGCAGCCCTGGAGTAACTTTTCAGGGCATCTTACCACCAGGCTGATGGGCACCTCCAAATCTAGTCACTCCCATAGAGGGAGCTCTTTCCACCACCCCTGAATGCCAGGATCTGGTTGGCAGGATCTAAGCTTTGACCCTCTCCTGGGTCCTAGCATCTCTTGGTCCAGCCTTGTTGGCTTTGCTTTGTGTCGCGCTCCCCCACGTGCCTCTCCCAGGACAGCAGACAGGCTGGAGTAGAGGCACCAAGGGTGTGGTGGACAGAATATAGGCTGTGGTTCTGCCACTTTCCAGTTCCATGACCCTGGGACCGTTTCTCAGTGTCTTCATCTGCAAAATGAGGGTGATTCTATGAGGTGACAACGCAAAGTATTAAATATATGATTTTAGCCTCTCTTTATAGAGATGCACACAGAGTGCCAGGTGCTGCCCACATACGATCTCCCAGAGCACAGTGGTTCAGCATGAGGACTCGTGGCATCAAGACTGCCTGGGTCCAAGTCCAGTATTGTCCAGTATTGTCGTCATGGTCATCATCATCATCATCATCATCATGTTTGAATTCTCCCAGTACTCTTATGAAGTAGATACTATTGTCCCCTCAGTTTTGATGAATCCTCAAACATCCCCTCACATGAGTCCTTTCCACCATTCTGCATTGCTTCCATCCCTCTCTGCAAAGTGTCTGCAGCATCCTTCACACTTAGGAAAGATGGGGAGAACCAAGTACTCCCTCTGGAGTCAGAAGTGGAAGAGGATGGCTGAGCAGAGCAGAGCACTATGGGAAGATCTTACTTCCAGTTTTGGCCTTGCCCCCTGCAGCCATGTGCCCACGGGAAAGCTGTTTTACCTCTCCATGTCTGTTTCCTCATTTTCCACTCGGGCACAAAGTCACCTACCTTTATGCACCGTTGGGAGGATTAAAGTGGGCAGCTCAGGGCTTAGTAATGGCAGCTATTCCCGATTTTCTCAGATATTGGACAGGGGGCGCTGGGGCAGGAAGTGCATGTGCTTTGACAGTTTGGTGGGGTGACATTACCACTGTGGTCTTTTTGGATCTCTTGCAGATTTGCTCCCTGGAATGCCAGGCCAGCCTGCTGCCAGCTGAGGAATGGGAACGATGCCAGGAGCTTCTGTCTTTTTTCAGCCCTTTCACCCTCGGGCTCAATGACAAGGAAGACCTGGAGAGCATGGCAGCTTTAGAAGAGCCCTATAGTGAGCTGGCCAAGCGGGTGGGGCCCTTCCTGAAGGAGCTGGAGAAAAACAGATTCCTCCTCAGCGCCCCAGCAGAGGAGAATGCTCTGAGCAGGAGCTTGGCAGAGAAGCTCAGGGGTCTCTCTGGCAAGTTGGGGGAGGGAGTGGAGTCTGAGCTGATGGGGGACGCCCCGCCAAATGATGGCTCCGTGGAGGCTGGAGCACTGGCTTCTGATGAGGAGGACCCCAAGGAGCAGGTCAAACGCTACGGGGGCTTTTTGCGCAAATACCCCAAGAGGAGCTCAGAGGTGGCTGGGGAGGGGGACGGGGATAGGGTGGGCCGTGAGGACCTGTACAAACGCTACGGGGGCTTCTTGCGGCGCATCCGTCCCAAGCTCAAGTGGGACAACCAGAAGCGCTATGGGGGTTTTCTCCGGCGCCAGTTCAAGGTGGTCACCCGGGCTCAGGAAGACCCCAGTGCCTACTCTGGAGAGCTTTTTGATGCATAAACACCTCCCCATCGTGGAGTTGAGTCAGGAACTTCCCCTTACACCCTTCCAGATTGGAATGCACTCATTCATCTTCCCCTGTGTCCCCCGCCCCGTGCTCAGCTCAGCATTGTCTACAAAATCCAAACCCAGCCTGCCTCTCTTCTGCCTGGAGTGCAGTGTTTGTCTGGGGTCAGTGAGGCGGAAGGGTGGAGATTCCCCTCTCCAATAGACTTCGTGCTCACTCAGACCCCAGACCTCTAGACCTATGACCAGCAGCAGCCTTTGATATCAGTCCCTCCACCCCATTCATGTGACTCCCCAATTCCAGAAATCCAGACTGACCTGTTCTTCATCCCTCTAGATCTATGATCTCCAAACTTTACCGATCATATGCCCCTCTCAGAAGAAAAATGAGCATATCCCCTGCCATGCAGGTATAGTCACTTAGATAGTATATATGTAACATAAAGCATACAAAAGGTAGAAATTTAAAACAAGATGGATAAACAAATACAAATCCTAACATTTTATTCCTAAACCTTAAATGATCTCCCTGTGCACCCCACTTTGGAGACCATGCTTTAGGTAAAAAGCTCATACAGTGCCTTTTATTGGAGCAGGAATTCCTACTAGTCTTCTAGTGGGTTAGACCGTCAGTCGATGTGGTCTGAGTTCTTTTTTTTTTTTTTTTTTTTTTTTTTTTGGTCTGAGTTCTCATAGTGTAGAAACACACGTCTTGAAGAACCAAGTTCCTGGACTCCATGTTGGTACCCTGGACAGTGCCCAACTCCTCACAGGAGAGGAAGGGAATGAACGTGCCTTTCCTACTAGTTAATGAGAACAGTTCTCCCTCCCAATGCTGAAATGATCAAGGCGGGAGCGAGGCAAACCAATTTGTTCTGTGCAACAAACTTAAAATGTGAACCAGTTCCCTCAGCCCTCATTAAACTAATTAAACTGATCAGTATCACTTTCCTACCCCAGGATGAACTGAAGCTGAGTCGAGTTGATGAGGTTAAGCACAACCATGTTCTTGAGCAGCTGAATCAGCTGCCAAGAGTCCAAGCCATCTGGTCAACCATATGCAATGGGCATTGAGTAAGGGAATCCAGAAGCAACAGCTAGAAAGAGAAAAAAGACACTCTTCAACCCCCCGATGATTCTTTCCTCTTAATGTCTCAAAATAAAACTGAAAGAGGAATGAAATGATTAAGTGCTTGAGGCCAAATGAATTCCCTTGATTCAAATAACCCAGAATCAGAGGCAGAGACTCCCCATGCCTTGGTTTCAAAGTCCCCTCTCTCTATGTCTCTGTCTCTCTCTCTCTCTGTCTCTCTTGCTAATTCGTCCCTAGACACTATGGTTTTGTGGATCCAGAAGGCCGGGCTAGAGAGGAGAGAAATAGACTTGGGTTTGGTTAATTTGTATAAGATGCTACTGAGCACACCTCTTCATGCGCAACCCCCAGGTCTCTCATGATGTTCTGAAATGTATACGTTGTTTTAGGGTTATTTTGTGTGCTTCTGAAAAATTCCACTTATGCAATTAACTTGGAATTTGCTTAGTCCTTAATAGGCCTGTGTTATTTCCTACTCCTCCAGTACTATAAATAAAAGAAAGATGCTGATGACTTGGGGGAGCATGTGTGTGCATGCCTCAGTCCCCAGAGAGTGAGAAGACCATTTGCAGAAAAGAGTGCTGGGGAATGAAAAAATGTATACACATACACATGCGCGCGCACGCACACACACACGCATTCAAGTTAGAAAAGTAAATATAGGATAACAGAAATTTAGAGTGCCGTAGCCCTAAGTTTGAAATCTGTGTAAGTTTGAGATCTTGAATAAGTCATTTGACCTCTCTAAGCTTTAGCTCCCTCCTCTATAAAATAAAGACTAATGGTGCCATCTTTGTAAGGTGGCTGTGTGGATTAGATGCGATCATAGATGCAAAGCTCCTAGTACATAGCAGGCACTCAGTAAGTTCTTCCCACATTGTCTTAAGGGACAGTGGCAAAGTTCAAGCATCCAGCAACCCAGTGGGGAGAGCAGGGGGAGGTGATGCAGAGGGAGTCTGAGTCCCACGGAACACCCAGAGGCTGTCTTCTCTGCTGGATGACAGGGCGGGAGGGAGAAATGTTCTAGACGAGGGGGAGTGTGCCAGGGATGGAGAACACTCTAGACGATGGGTGGCATCGTGTCCTTTGCTAAAATGACATCCTTCATTAAATGGCATAGATGAGATGTCTTCACATTGGGCTAGTGTGAAAGACACCTGGTGGCTCCGGACCTCCTGGGTTCCATGTGGACACTGGCTTTCTGAGTGACTCCACAGAAAACACAGGGTCAGGGAAGCCTCGCTCCTTCTTTCATTCATTCAACAAAGTACCAATTGAAGGCCTACTGTGTGTATGCCTTGTACCAGGTGCTGGAGGCACAGGAAAATAAAACAGACAAGGTCTCAGCTCTTATGGAACTTACAGTCTAGTGGAGGAGACAGAAATAAACAAGTAAAATAATACATAAATCTAAAATTAAAAATAAAATTTCATAAATTAAATTTAAATAAAATTTAAAATGTTAGTAATTGTTGTGAAGAAAACCACTAGGATTTAGTAAAAACAGATAATAGGGGCAGGGGAGGAATCTCCCTAGGATATTCAGGAAATGCTTCTGGAGGAATATTCTAGTCTTGATATCCATAGGATCATCAAGTTGGAAGGAATGTAAGGTTGGGATTATCTCCTCTGACTACCTACCCTGTGCCAATTTGACACATTGATAACAAATGTTAATTGGCTTTAACACTTTCATTGACTTGGATTCCACAACATATTGCTATTCCTTAATGATTCAGTTTTGGAAAGTTCTATCTTTATGTTGGGTTGAAATTTAGGTTTCTGTCACTTTTACCCATTGAATCCTTAGCCTGCTGTCTGCTAGCCCAGGAGCTTCTCTAGGGAAGAATTTTCTGTTACTTGCAAACAAATGGCTCCTAACTGTCTCAAATAAGTTGAAGAAACAAACAAAAAAACCCAGGTAATTTATTGGCTTGCATAAATGAAGAATACAGGATATTTAGCTTCAGGTAGAGCTTGATCAAGGGGCTCAATGAGGACGCCAGGACCTCTCCATTACTATACTCTTTTCTCCTCTGTGTTGGATCTATTCTAAGACTCCACATGCTTTTAAGATGGCTGACAGCAGCTCCAGGCTATACCATGCAGGTTCAAGTCTAGCATGCTAGTTCCACAGTCAATCCCAGTCAGTTTCATTGTACCTCATTGGCTCTGATTGGGTCATATATCCAATCATTTTGGACAGATTAATGTGGTGCTCTGATTAGTCACGCCTGAACCCCATGGACACCACTGGAGCCAGGGATGGATTCAATCCAACTCCAAGGAGCTGGACTAGGAGTGGGAAAGGGGGTGGCTCTTGAGAGGGAAATTGGAGCATGGTTCCCAGCAGGAGAGCGAATAAATGCCAGCCCACCAAACAGTAGATGGTCACCCCTCCAGTGAGTGAATGTGGCAGAGTGGAGACTGGGGCAAACTGGAGCATGATGCCATGGGGACTGTGGGCCCAGAGTAGCCAGATTTGATTTTTAGGAGACTGCAGAAATCTGGATTTGCATTTTTTTTCAAGGTAGGCAAGTAATTTTTTTCAAAAGTGCTCAGCAGGACAAACAATAATATGTTTTGGATGAGACTTCACTTTCTCACCACGATTTTGTGACCTCTTTTTTTTTTAATGAGAACTACTTTTTTGTTGTTGTTTTTAAATTTTTCCCCATATTCTGTGGATTCCAGAATGCCGTTTCTCTGGATTCTCTTTTCTGGACACATTTCACTGGTAGAGGAGACACGCCCACATGCTGGGGAAAGAGCGTGGCTAGGGGTCACAGAGACCTGGGCCCAGACCCTACTCCCCTGGGTGGCTCAGGGCAAGTCACTGCACTTCACTGAGCCTCAGTTTCTGATCTGTCAAATGGGGAGAAAAATACTGACTTCATTGGACGGAGGCGAGAATTCAGTGACATAAAGTCTATGATGCACCTGACACACAAGAGTGGATGACGCAAGTTGCTCTCCCTTCTTAAAGGGTGGTGCCTCTCGTTATATTCCAAGTGTCACCTGAGTGAGGCAGGCGCATGCCTATTGAAGGACAAAATTCTCCTGGTGGTAAGAAAAGGATGAAATTAAAAAAAAAATTTTTTGTATCCAGCTATAACATACGTGCTGTAAAGTGTTCTTAATCTTCAGTGTGCAGCTCGGTGGATTCTTACCGGCGTGTATGCCCATGCGACCACCACTCAGATCACAATGTAAACGTTTCCAGCACCCCAGAGGGGTGATCTTTTTTTATGAGCTATTTGTGGGGATGGAGAGTGAGCCAGAGGAATAATTGGAATAAAAACATCACAGGCCTTGCGGAGTCCTGATCCTTTGTCCATGTCACCAAGGCCATTGTGCAGCAATCCGAGAGCGGGCGTCAGTTAAGGGATGCCAACATCCTGGTAACCTCAAAAGAGCGCATTACTAATAAGCACGCGGTTTCCACGACAACGCCGTACACCATGGCTGGCGAGGAAAGTCTTGTTATAATGATCATGACAATCATAATGATCCCTCGGCCTTGGATCGCCCCTCCCCCACCCCAACTCCAAGCCCTTCACACAGTTGAGCCCAGTTATGGGGCTGGTCTATTAATTAAAGGCCCCAAGGCGAACACAAAAATCCCCAGGACTGTGTCAGGAACAATGGTCCCCTAATAGCTGTCATTCTGGCATTCTCGATTCATGTGCTGGGTCTGTGTCGCCCCCGTTATAGCGGTGGAGATTTACAACAGAGATTTATAATTACTCTTCTCATATGTAAATTTGCACGTAAGTTGCGCTCCCACACTATTTATCTTGTCTCTGCCTAACTTGAGCCAAGCCCCATTATTCTTTGTCCCCAGGGCTCCTCTCATCCTTGATCGCCTTTGACATGAAGTTTGTGGTCTGAAAACGCCCGCCTGCCTCACTCTCAAACCCCCACTACACCCGACTAGCTCCAGAAGGACCTGCGTGGTGTTGGGTGTTGGGTGTGATTCGGGAGTGCTTTCTCATCATGGGTAAGATCCATGCGGGGTTTGGA